CCAAAATAAAATTTGAATTTTTTTGAGCCTTTAAAATTTATAATATAAAGTTATAAAAAATTTAAATGTTAGAAATATAAATTATTTCACAAAATGTTTCTTAGGAATAATTGTATTTTGTATGTTATATATTTGCAATGTAAAATCCAATATTCGTTGGGATTGTGCTAATTTTTCTATTATCTCATCCTTGCTTGTCATCAAATGCCTATGAATATTCAAAGATCCAAACCTTTCAATCTACTTTCAGAAGTTGTACTTCTTGGTATGTTTTGCAGAGACCTGCAGGCCCGGCCCCCGGGTCGGACCGTATTTAAGCAGTGCCCTAATTTTTTATAAAATAACACCCATGCCTGAATTTTTTAAAAAAATAATCCGGGCAGGGCTATATATTTTAAAACAACCTATATTTGAAATCGTAATTATTAGCTATAAAAATAAAAAATAAATGTAATTTATTTTTAAAAAATCCGGGCCGGGCATGAAAATTTTATTTTAAAAACAGCCTGGCCGGGCCTTAAATTTTTTCAAAAAAACCCGGGCCAGGCCGTGAAAAGTTTAAAAAAAATGCGAGCCTGCCCTAAAAATGGTACCTCTACAGGGCTCTGTTATTTATCTTAAAAAAGAGAATGTTCTTTCATTAGTTTACTAATGGGAAGAGTTGCAAAGATATATAAACCCTATTAATACATTGGGAATATAATCGTGTTTGAAATAATGCAAAGCATCCATAGCATTTTTTGGGACTATATCATCCATAGTTAATCTTATAAACATAGTTATTCAACTAATAAGACATTATAAGATATCCTAACATCTTCATGATAAAAATCTAACAAATATTTATTTTCTATCACCATCTGAAAAAGGTTGGAAAGGCTTTTATGGAAGTAATATTTTCAGATTGGTAAGGTAAGTGTTGCATGATGAATTAAAAACCATTCATTTATTTGTTATAAATATATCTAAGATATACTCTTCTACTGATCCTATATTAATGTTTTAACGATGAGCTTGTCTTGCTGCAAGTGGAGGGAGACAAATATTAAACACGTATAGCTCTGTTTTTGACTCAGCAAGAACATATAAAATATGAAATTCTTTATCAACATTTGCCCTAATATCCTTGAGTTCTAATAAAATGCTATCCGCTATTCTTATCTTCTTAATCAAGTCATTGTCATGTTTTTGAAAAGTAATACATAAATAGTTGTATAATTAAATAATACATTCTTATGAGAAATTTTTTTTAGAATAAACATTGAATCTAATAATTTTCTTGCTTCTGAGGAAATATTTCTTTCAGGCCATTGTGATATTTCAGTAATAGCAAATAATCGGCTCTTCTAACTTCATAAAAGCTGTTACTGCTAGATGACGGAGAGTCTCTCTCGACAAGGTTGCAAAATTTTTCTCCCTGTTGGACTAGAAGTTTCAGAAATAATTATTATTTGATTAGAAATTTGAAAATGGTAGATAAATATTATGACATTAAAAATTTGAAAATAAAGTAAATATTATGCCGGAAGACATGAAATAGAAATTAATTGATAAAGTAACTTAGTAGAGGAATGTGATAATTAATGTAATTAAATATATATTTAATATGAGATAGGAATATGTAGTAATATCAACTACTAATTATAAACAATACGACCACTGATTTATATTTCAATTTATTTTTGATATCAAATTTTTATTTATTATTTTTCGAATGTTCGATTCTGTTTTTAATATACAATATACATAAATAATCATTTATTAATTTATTACATTTCCTTCAAACAATTTAAAGTTAGATTTCTTCAATAAACCTCTTTGTAGGTTTACGGTTTCTTGATGAGCAACGTAATGTGGTATTTGTATTTGTGTTTGTATTTGCTTCATTCACTGGCACAACCATTTCTGTAACTTCCAAAGAACTTTCATGATTTGGGATAACTAAACAATTTCTTAACTGATCTGCATGCTTCCGTAATGTTTTCCCGGAAGATTCAACAATATAAGAATAAAGTCCTATTCTTTCTTTAATTACTCCCTCTCTCCAACCATTGGTATTTTCATTATTTTACCATATAGGTTGTGAGATTTCAAATTCTCTTTCCTTTGAATGTAAATCATGATGAAGGCTTTGTTTATCATTAGCTCTTACTATTTCGTGTTCAGCATTTGGTCGGATCCAATCCAGACTTGTTTTCAATTGCCTCCCAAACATAATTTTAGCAGGAGATCTCCCTGTGGAACTATGCTCTCCCAATCGGTAGGTTGTTAAAACCTGTGTCATAGCTTCTTCGGGATCGCTAATTGAATATCTCGTTGCATAATACCGACCTTTCAAAGTTCGTACTGTACGTTCAGCTAATCTATGTAGTAGCGCCGCTTTAGAATGTAGATTGCGAATAAAACGTTCATGATAATTAACTAGTCCTAGAAAAGATCTAAGTTGTTGTATATTTTTAGGTTTTGGTGCATTTCGGATAGCCTTCACCTTTTCCGGGTTAGGATGTATACCGAATTTATCAATTATCACCCCTAAAAATGAAACCGATTTTTGTAAAAATCTCACTTTTGTTAATTTCGCCTTAAGACCTGCTGCATGTAATCTGTCTAACACTATTCGCAAATTATTTAAGTGCTCCTCATCATTTCGACCAGAAATAATTACGTCATCTAAATAGACACCAGTCATTTGGCAATCTTTTAGTAACTCATCCATATATCTTTGAAATATAGTTGGTGCACTTGCCAATCCAAATGGCAATCGTCGGTAACGGAAATAGCCCTTATGAGTCACTATCGTTAGTAGTTCCTGGGATTCCAATTCTACTTCCATCTGTAAATACGCATCTTTCAGATCTATCACGGTAAATTTATCACCACCTTGGATTTTCTCTAATAAATCGTCTAAGGTAGGAATAACATGATGGTCATATAATAAACACGGATTGAGTGTAACTTTGAAATCAGCACAAATTCGAATATCGCCATTACTCTTGCGTACATTTACGGTTGGCGTTGACCACTGTACCCTGGTTATAGTCGAATCAATCTTTTCAATAATTCCTGCAGCTACTAATCGGTCTAATTCCATTTCAATTGCTTTGCGAAGTGGAAATGGTACCCTACGGGCTGGAAACGATCTTGGTACAGCGGTATCCTTTAAATGTATTCGCACTTCAAAATCACGTATATGTCCCATCTTATCATCAAAAATTTCTTGATGTTTATTAATCAAATCTCGAATTCTAGAATCTAGTATTATGCAACATTTTTCTTTTTCAATATTGTTGACCAAATTGCGTACTTGTTTAATCATAACCTGACGAGGCATTTCTAAAGTGAATGCTATAATCCATGGTAATCCGAAAAGAGGCACCCCAGTTGTATTCATTATTACCACTGGTAGAGTCCTTGTCTGTGATCCAATCCTAACATTGACTTGGGTCTCGCCCTTGACGTCTAACGGATGATCACCATATGCAGTCAATGGACTGGTTGGCCTAATTTTTGGTCGCCCAATACTTGTCCATATATCAATTCCTATCAATGACGCTTGTGCACCAGTGTCAAAATCAAATTCAACATCTAACCCATTTATCTCTGCAGATAGTTTTGCTCGATTCTCTCGATTTTGTTGAATCTTCCAAATATTATGAATAGAATCACTTGATGACACTCTTATATAATTTAAATTCTTTGATTTACAGCAAACTGCAAAATGACCAATTTTTTTACATTTATTACATGCCGCATTTGTAGCTGGACATCTCACTTCTCGGTTATGAATAAAACCACATTTATAACATTTAAGTTTATTATAATCTTTATCATTATTATATTTGTAGTTATTATTCTCTTTATCAAATGTATTATTATACTTGACTTTATTATAGCCTTTATCAATTGTAGTCATCGTTTTTATTGGATGTTTATAATTATTATCATTATCATTTCTTTTGTTATTAACATTTATCTTATTAACAACTGGCATATTTTTATTTGCCATTTCTTTATCTGCTCGCTCAGAAGCTAATGCCAGATCAAGAATAAATTGAAAAGTCAGTACATTATTATCTCTATCAAGACCGTCGGGATATAGAGCTCTAAGATCTCTTTCCAATCCCGGTATTTCCATGCCAACCATAAACTGATCACGTAAACGCTCGTCAATATCATTAAGATAATGACAACGCTTGCCAATTGTTCTAATTTTATCTGCAAATTCAGTTATGGTTTCAGTTGTTCTCCGTAATCTAACGAAATCAAATCTAGAAGCAAAAGCTGTTGACGTCGGTTTAAATAGTTTAAAACATATTGACTTAATTTCCTTAAAAGATAAAGTTTCGATCGAATCAGGATAACAAAAACGGTCCACCAACTCAATATTCTTATTGCCAAAAAATGTTAAAAATATATCTTTATATTGACATTCAGATGGGCTTACGTTTTTTAACCGAAAACTGGCTTCCCATTGAGAAAAATATCTGTGGATAGAAGTATCCAACTCGAATTTATCAAATTTAATCGTAGATAAATCCGCTATTTTTTTTTTTGAATCTCCATTTAAGGAATTATTTTCTCCATTTAAGGAATTATTATCTCCATTTAAGGAATTATTTTCTCCATTTATCGTCGCCATTTGTAGTAATACCAACTACTAATTATAAACAATACGACCACTGATTTATATTTCAATTTATTTTTGATATCAAATTTTTATTTATTTTTTTTCGAATGTTCGATTCTGTTTTTAATATACAATATACATAAATAATCATTTATTAATTTATTACAGAATAAATATTAACAAATATAAATTAATTGAAACAATATTATTTTTAAAAAATATATCCGGCATCTGCATTTTTTGGCTTGCTGCGTACGACCCTGATATAATATATAATAATAATATAAAATTAAAAAAAAAAGTTTACTGAAGAAAGTTAATAATGTTAGTGTAAAATCAATAATGTCATTAAATTATTAAAGAACAATTATACCTTAGGGATCAATATATTTAGGTTACATGCTTAGTATTCATGAATAATTCTAATTTATGATGCTAGGTGCTATATTTATTTACAATCATAAAGGCGAAGTCTTAATTTCAAGAATATATAGAGATAACATAGCGTAATATTTTATAATTTATTTCTTAAACTTTTTAATTTTAGAAGAAATGCAGTTGATGCCTTTCGAGTAAATGTAATTCATGCAAGGCAGCAAGTAAGATCACCTGTAACCAACATAGCGAGAACTACATATTTTTATATAAGACGCTCAAATCTTTGGATTACAGCCGTTACTAAACAAAATATTAATGCAGCTATGGTGTTTGAATTTTTGAATAAACTTGTATATTTAATGAATCAATATTTTGGAAAAATCACGGAAGAAAATGTTAAAAATAATTTTGTACTTATTTATGAATTATTAGATGGTAAGCTAAGTTATATTTGTTCAGATTCTTTATATATATATATAATTAAGAAATATTAGATTTTGGTTATCCTCAAAACACTGATGTTGGTATATTGAAAACATTTATTACTCAACAAGGAATTAAATCACAAGTCTTATTGAGTTTTACATATTAATTATATAATTATATTAGTCAAGAGAAGAGCAAGCTCAAATAACCTCACAAGTCACAGGCCAGATTGGATGGCGTAGAGAAGGAATTAAATATAGACGAAATGAATTATTTTTGGATGTATTAGAATATGTCAATTTACTAATGTCAGCACAAGGTATATTATAATTTTGTAAATTGTAAGAAAGTTTTTACACTACTTGTTTCTTCTTTATTTATATCATGAAATTTAAATGGTATATTTATTAAATTCACAAATATATTGTATAATTTATGCAGAAAATTTTAATTAATTATAGTATAACCAATTTTTTAAAAACAAATCATAGGTCAAGTATTAAGTGCTCATGTTGCTGGCAAAGTCATAATGAAAAGTTATCTCAGTGGCATGCCAGAATGTAAATTTGGTATCAATGACAAAATTGTTATGGAAAGTAAAAGTGGCAAGTCCAGCACTGATGACATCTCTAAAAGGTATTTGATATTCTATTTTTTAAGAACTATTAAGACATAAGTTCCTGTGATCAGTGAACTAGCAAACTTTTTAAACTAAAAAAAGGGATGTGCAGTACCTTAGTTTTTTCTAAATTTTCATAAGAATCTGAGATCCCTTTCCCTCCGAAAATACTATCTAGGCTTTCCCTTTCTTGAGAATCTCAGACCCTCATCCCCAAATAACACAATTATCTTTAGCATTAATTCACATCAACTTAAAACATATTTTAGTTTTTTATCTTAAAATAAAGTATTTTTTATAATAATCACACAGTGATTTTATTTTAAACTTATCAATCACATTTTTACAAAATTATGTTTATGCTTTTGTTACACAACTATCATCACCTTATTTCAATATGCTTCCATTACATAATCATAGATACTAGTGATATTGGTATTGCACGGTTACTACTTTTTTCTCTATGCCAAGACTTTCAGGTATTAGGCAATACATCAATACTTATATAAGAAGTTACTGAAAAAACATACAATAACTACCATATTAGATTTAATTTTAAAATAAAAATTATGAATTTAAAATTTTTATTAACTATATTTTATTTAAATCCATTAATTTAATAACACAATAACAATATTATAAATAGATATCTTAGTTAGCCTTCATTTCATAGCATGGGGGGGGGCTATGCAACATCAGTCATTTAAAAATAAATTTCTTTCATTTTGTTTTATTTTTTCATTTTAAATCATAAATTGAGCGCGTTTTATTAAATTTTAAATTTGATTTCGCTGAAAATGCATTATAATATGTATAGAATACCCACCCTATAAATTTCAGAAGATCTTATATTGAACCTCTGAAGAAATTTTAATTTACATTAATCTGAAATTTATAAGTAGTGTTAGTAGCCTAAAAATCAGCTAAACCTAATTTGGCTTAACCGAAAAATCGCCTAAAACTAATTAAACAAAATTTAGGGACTAAGAGCTAGGCTAATCGCTCGTCAGCGTTACGCATCACTAAGCCTAGCCTTTATTAAAATTATTTAATATATTTATTATGTAACGATATATGACGGGCGATTAACCGAGCTCCTTAGCCAATGCCTAATTTTTGAATAATTAGTTTTCGCCTATTTTAATGCTAAGCTTAATTAGGCTTAGCCGATTTTTTAACCTAAAAACTTGGCTAACCGTTTTGGAATTGCCTAAAATTAACCGATTGCGCAACATTAAGGGTGGGCATTCTACACTTATTCAGGTGCATTTCTGACAAAAAGATTTTTAAATTTAATAAAACGCACTCAATTAATGATTTTAAATGCAAATAATAACAAAAAAAAACAATACCCATCAAACTATAGCCTTACCAAAATTAAGTTTAGTTAAAAGATCACTAGAGCTGTCTAATAACAGGGTAGGCAAGGAAGACCAGGGGGTGGTTGGATCATTTCTGTCAAAATCGTCAAAGGTCCGAAAATAATTGTATCTGAATTTACAAGATGATAGTTCAAACCCTTACCTAAAAATTATACACCGACAAAATTTAAAATAATACACTTTTTTCTCTAAATTGATTTTAGTAAAATGAAAATTTCTTATTACAAGCTTAAACTCCTTAGCAGTGTAGAGAAAGATGAATCAAAATTTTAAAATGTTTTTATAGGTTTTTTGCACTTGTTAAACATTCCGAAGATCAGACTTTTAATATTTATAAGAAATTTTTTATTTACATATGGGGATTATATTTATTGATACCAATTTGTTTAAATATGGTTGGTTCACAGACAAACTTGAATTTCATCATATGATTATAAGAAGTTTTGTATCATGATATACACTGATTTCCATCGCATTGTAATGTCTTTCTTTAGAAAATATCGAAGCTTGATATTTGCAGCAGATTGCACAATATTTTACCAACTCTTTTACACTTAGAAGATATTTTAAATACCTAATTATCAAAAGATTTTTCATCATATATTATAATACTACCACCTTCTTCCCCCACTCCACTCATTTCCTATACCACATTAAAATTAGAACAACGGACCAAATACAAACTACCCATTTTAATTTAAATGCCAATCTTGAGTTATAACCCCTTCTTCTGTGGTAAAAGGTCCTGTTTAACATTGTTTGAATGGTTAAGCGTCTTTTTATTATTGGTAGTCGGTCTATAAATCTGGTTATGAGCAAGTATAATTATCATTAATATTTAACTTCATATCATTAGGGCTAATTATTTATTCAAACTTTTCTGTTGGGAGGGGGGGGGGTGGGTGTTTCTTAATAAAAAAATTTTCATGATTAAATCAATATTTTTATTTTCCAGCATAACATAAGGATTTTCATTATCTACGCTTCCTGAGACAGATATCTTACTTTTCTTATATATTTTTTATAGGGCCTTGCTTTCTACTGTAAAAAGAGGAATCATAAATGATCGCTTCAGCTTGTTTAATTAATTATAAGTTTAATTAATTTTAATATCCATCAATGCTTGCTTTTAAAACTTTTATTTTAAATCTTTCTAAACCTCTTTTAGTCTTGAAGAATACACATTTAAAAAAATATGAAGGCATAGAAAATGTAAAAAAGAGATATTTTCCACCTTTTGATTTTTTAGGGTTGTATCTACTCCTTGAAGTACAACTCACAAAGTAAATTTTTTATTCCATTAAATTTTCTCATCTTCAGCGATGATAGTAATGTCCAATCACTATTATCACCACATTAACAAAATTTATGACATTCATCAGATTAATAAAATATAGCAACTGAACTGAAATGGGAATATACTGTAATTTGTGTTAAAAATAGCTAAGTTATTTTTAATAATATATGAGGCATGTTCAATTCATTCAATTTTAGCTCTACTTATATTTTTTATATTTCTATATCCATTTTTATACAATTTTGTCTTTGATCACATAATTAGAAAAAGACTCGTCAGGAAGCAAGAACTTAGCAAGAATCAATTAAGGACAATAATCTATTTTTTTTCCCAATTCCTAAGTCACAATAGTGGCAATTTCATCATCAGAGATTACACGAATTAAGTACTGAGATGGATAGAAATTCAATTAGAAAATGATGCTGAATATTGTTTCATGTCTTGTTGTGATAAGCTTTGACCTTGTCTTTTTGATTAAACATTAAGAGAACTTAATACAAATTTATTATCAAAAAATGCTTATCAAGTCCATACTAAATCCCTCACTAATTAAAGCATTTGTCAAAGAATAATATAAATCCAAGGTCTAATTATCTGTTTGGCTCAATGTATTAAATAAAACTTTTTTTCTTAGTGCCTTGCAAATCTTATTTATTTCGGCCAAAGCTCCATCCAAAATCTTTATTTTTAGGAGCCTAGCCATAATTTTAAATTTTAGGCCTGAGCCTGTCCTGTCCCAAATTAAATTGAAAAATATAACTAATCGCATATTTAAACAATAAATTAATATAAAAATTTAATTCCTTTTCCCTAATCTTTAGAGAAGTCTATTTTATTGCTTAGAATCTTTTTTATATTTTTTAAGTCAAAAAAATCAAAAGCCTTAACCCAATTTAAAAAAAAATATTTTTAGACCCAAGCCCGACTTTAACTTAATTTCCAGGTTCAACTAAATCTGTCTAAAGGCCGATAAATATAAAATTATAGTTTTCATCAAACTCCATTCCCGATATCGCAACGATGCAATTCATTTTAGATAATGAATTCGCGATAATACATTTGTGATAATGCATTCGCGCTAGCTAATACATTCGCGATAATGCATTCGCTATAATATTTTCGCTATAATGCATTCGCGGTAATGCTTTCGCTATAATACATTCGCTATAATATCTTATATATAGAAACTTTCAATTGACGGTTTTGGTTTTTTAGGTAGGACAAAATTATGGTGCTTCTATTTAATTAAAAATATTGGTTTCTCTATAAATATGTGGAACCCCAAGTAGAGATCGGCACTTTTCGACACTCAATATATTAAAGCCATCGCATACATCTAAATGTGTATCATTAGAGATTAATGAATTCTTAGTTATCTATATTAAAAAGATTTATGAATAAAATTTGTATAATAAAATAGAAAGAAAATTATATTTAGAAACGTGTTCCGAAACGCAGAACGAACGGGAATGTGACATATTTTTTACCCAAACAACTGGTTAAAACCTTTTCTTAATTAAAATTAGAATAAGATTCTCGTCCGTCATATATCCATAAGGGTAAAGTTAAGAACCCTTCTATAGGCTAATTTAGATAGCTGACATAAATGCAATATATAAAAATTTTAAAAATGGTTGGTTCAGTTTAGATTCTCTTTTATAACGGTTAATACATATTTAACAAATCGTTTCAGGGTTGGTTTAGCTGAGTTAATAATCAAGCTAAACCTTGATATGAACTAAAAAGATTTTACAAAAAAATCATTGTTGAAAGTCATCGAAAAAATAAAACAAATAAACTGAATTGTATTATTAAAATGTTAATTTTGATATATTTTTCAAATCCCGCATAAATTTTTTGAACTCTATAATTGTCCCATATATAATATTTCTCTATAAAATCAAGATCTAGAAAATAATTCTCTACAAAATAATTCTCTACAATGTAATTCTCTACAAAATAATTCTCTATAAACAACATTCTCTATAAAAGCATTAACTCTTTGAAGTCATTCTCTATTAAGGACCTTCTCTATAAAATAATTCTCTTTAAAATCATTCTCTATAATCGACATTCTCTATAAAACCATTCTCTATAAACGGCATTCTCTATAAAATCATTCTCTATAAATTAATTCTCTATAAAATCATTCTCTATAAATTAATTCTCTATAAAATCATTCTCTATAAAATCATTCTCTATAAAATCATTCTCTATAAATTAATTCTCTATAAAAATTATTCTCTGTATAAAACATTCTCTATAAAACATTCTCTATAAACTACATTCTCTAAATATTTTTGCCTGGAAATGTTAATAGCTTAATATTTTTAGGTAGTGATCTTCATCAGGCCTAATTTTTCAAGTCTGGTTTGAATTTTTTATTTTTTTAAAAAAAATTTACTGATCTGGCCTGGCCTGAATTTGTTTAAATAAAAAATTCATTTTTGGCATCTAGTTTATATAAATAAAATCATATATTGTTATTTTACAAAAAACGTTTAACATACTTGATAAATTTAAATAAATTTAAAAAAAATTCCATAGTCCAACCTGTAGGCCCACGCCTGAAGTCCATTTGGGCCGGGTACGGACCCAGCCTACTATTGTAAAGTATTTATGTGCAAAATTAATTTTGATTTGTTGTAGTTCATGAGGTATAGCTATTTTGTGAGCTTAGGGTTACATAAACCACACTTGGACATATGTGTAACTTTTTTCCATCTTTTTTAGCATTGATATATTAGCTATAAGTAAATGAATATAGTGAACTGTTGATTAATTATATTTATTTTCTTAAAGATATGTTAATATTAAGCATATTTTTATTTGCATTCTACTTATAAGAAAAAGTTTTAACAAATATTTTTTATAAGATTCAATACTGGACCTGTCTGGGTAATTGTATAAGATATGATCTGATGCTGTTGAAGATCCAATGCATATATAAAAAACCATTATTTTTTATGATAAATATAGAAAAATTTAATACATTTTACAATTTTCTTAATCCAAAATTTCATTGAAAAGTTATTCCATTATACACGATTTATTAGTTAAATCAAATGTCATATTTTTTTCCTTTTTGCTAAATCAAATATAATGTAATCATACTACATATAAGAATCTTGTATAAATCACCTCACAATTATAATTCTTTTGATAAATATTTGGTCACAATTCATATTTTTTATACTAACTTTTATATAACTAAACCCATCATATTTTTAAATTTAAAATGAAGTTCAAACAAAACTGCCATTGCAATTGACGATTGCCAATTTCACCAATGCGTCAAGCTCACCAAATTTGAAACGGAACACAGCATAAGCTTCATACCTCCCGATGGTGAATTTGAGCTTATGAGGTTTTTATCAATATTCAATCTTATTTTATCAGGTTGCTTTATTAAAGGAACAGATTTTCAAAATTTAAATAATTTAGGAAAAAACATGTAAGCAAGAATATCAATGCAAAGAAAAAAAGGATCACAATCCTTTTCTTATTTTATAAATTTTTGAAGTAAATTTATGTTCAATGCAAAATTGACTAATAACAATATTTATTTATAATTAAAATTAACCTTTAAATAAAAAAAGATATAAATTATTCTCATTCGAGCATCCACATCTTTCTTTAATAACATATTTAGCCTTACCAAAAGGTGTTATATTTTTTTTATTTATATCAGTTTTCAAAATAATTGAATCATCATTTGAATGAAAAAAAATTTTCCCAAAGAAAGTATCAGTATTATCTATACAATCATTTGAATAAGCATCTGCATGTAGGATCCTGCAGGTTTTCATAATTGGTAATTAACCTTCTTTTATCAACAGATTTTGCGGCAGATTGATATAAGGCTGTGTTGTTAAAAGCTACTTTTAAAAGTAGCCCACTATCGCTACCGCCATTTTACAAAAAATAGTCCGCTATTAGCTACTTTAGAATTTTTTAAAAATATTTTTTACCTATCTATTTCCACAAATAAAAAATTTTGATATAAAAATTTGACTAATTTTAAATATAAATTTATATAATATATATAATTTATTTATTTTTTTTATTGCATTTCAATAATAAAAAACATTTCTATACTGTCATCTCCAATTCTAAAGCGACTATCAGAAATTATAAGCTTTGCATATTAAATAATCGTTCATTACTAGAACTTCAGAATGTAATATTAAATTTAATATACATATTTTTTAATAAAAAAATTATCAAAAATATTTATTTGAGTATTTTTAGATTTAAAAAATGCGTCTAGGGAATTTTCAATAGTATTATTTATTTCAAAAAAAATTATTTATGGGTGGTGTTTTTGATCTGACTAAGGTATCCTGATTTGGTATAGTATTATTTAATGTTACCATTAACCTATTAAATTGCCTTTTGGATTCAGTCAAATTAATATTTTAGGTCAATTCTAGTGTTGTTAAACGGTCCAATTTAGATTTTAGCCAACTAGAGATTTTGTTCATAGATGGCAGAAAAGTTTGGATCCCTATTTGCCATCTCGACTCTCACCTAATATTATTTTGGCTAAAATCTTAATTTTATAGACCCAAATCGGGCCGTTTAGCAACACTAACCAATTCAACTTGTAACTAGGTTGAACAATTAAGCTATGTTTAACATCAAGATAATAAAGATGATAATTTATAAAACATTATCAACAAATAGATGAATCTCATGATAAAATGGGATATTAATTATTTATTGTATTTTTAGTTTATAAAATAATTCTAAAATAATATCTTATGGCCAATTGTTACTTACCATAAACTCATCTAGCTCAAAAACTATTATTGATACAGCTTTGATACAAATTTTATTAAGGTTAAGGATTGGGCTACACATTGATATTAAATTCTTGTTTGATGATAAAACCTTCTGGCACATCTTACAACGAAATTTCTACTCTGTTATTTTTTTTTTTATCGAGATTAAAATTTACCAATTTAGGTAAAATTCCATACTGTATCGAAATTATCCTCAATATTAATCTCTATTGTCGACATTTTAGAATTTTAATATTTTGAAACTAGATTATAATGCTTTTTTTCAAATATAAATTTCAATTTCAAAATGAAAAAAGGTTGAATATTATAAAATTACTAGTTCATAACCCGCCAAGAATGATGGGAATAATAAAATCTTGAACTATATATGAATTTTTTTTAAATACATTTTTTTATATAAAATAAATGACAAATTTTAGTGATTATTTATTCATTTTATTAAATTTAGCTTAAAATATATGAAATTGTAATCAAAAATGTAGTGTAGATATTGATAAATTGGTATTGTATGTCATTTCCAAAGTTCAAATATTGTTGTTGAGATAAAATTTTTATACTAGCATAGAGGTGGTTATATGAGATAAATGTATTGGCTAAATATAATTTAAATTTATTTGTTAAATCTAAATTATACAAGTATTTAGGATTAGTGTGGGAGGTTAATTTTCTGGCATGGGAAGATATTGATAAATAGTTATTTTATACTATTTGCAGAGCTCCCATATTGTGGTTGAGATAAAAAAAAAATTACTGCCATATTTTGGGGTGGTAAATAATTTAAATTTATTTGTTAAATCTAAATTGTAATATAAAAATAATTTATAAAAATTAATAAATTTTACTTTGATTGAATATAAATACTTACGCTAAAATAATATGAGATAAATGTTTATTTTTCAATTGGCTAAATATAATTTAATTTATTATTTTAAATTTAATAATATTCATTCTTATCATAATTTGAGGTGAGGTTAGTATTCTTTTCACAATAAGATCTAAATTATATAAATTAATCGAAAAATATTTTAATAGCAAATTATTACAAAATTTAATATAATATGATGGAGATTGAATTTTTAAAAAATAATATTTTATCTAAAAAAAATTTATTCTATTTTTGTACTTTTTTAAAAAATTAATTTAAAAAGATCGAATATTTAACAAAATGATCACTATCCTCAATTTAAGAGAAAATCATAAATAAATTGTCAAAATTAGGATCGAATGATCTCGATCCTTTAATAACTCTGAATTTAATAAAATATAATTTTTTTTAGAAGATTCTAAGATAAATAATTTTTATTTATAATAATATTAATTATATTTCATTTGTGATTTAAACTTTAAAATTAAAAAATTTTCCATCCTTATTAAGAAATTTATAAAATTGATTGCAGGACATATTATATTTTGTTTAATCACAAGTTCGGCCTCGAATGTTGTCAGAGCCTATTTCTCCCCAGGTAGTACTTGTCAGACTAAAAATGAGCTCTGCTGAGGCATTCGTATGAGCTAATAAATATACATGTTCCATATTATTTCCAAGCATGAGCATTTTTCGTTATTATGAAAAATTGAATCCATTTTTCCACTGTAAAATTAAGAATAATATTACCGATTATAATAAAACGATACTGATTTTTTTTTATAATTTTGAAAGTAAAAGGGGGAGTCAAATAAGCCATAGTCCCTAAACCTGCTGAAGGCAAAAAAAAGTTCCTCAGTTTAAATTTCTCGGGCAATTTAGAAATTTAGACATAATATCTCGTGCAATTTGAAAATGTTTACCTGCTAACTCTACTTGTAGATGTAGGAAGTAGATGCTTTGCCTGTACTGCTTGGCATTTAAGAAATGTGATTTTATCGTTAATTGTTTCTTCATCAGAAATATTGGATTGTTCTAAATAACTGGTTAATTAGCTCAAAATGAGCTTTAATAAATTAAATGGTAATAGCAATGAATAATAATGATAACCTGATTAAAGATTGAAGCAAGTGCAAGGGCCAGATAAAATATCAGGATCATACTATTAGATGTCTTTTGCTCTATCATTATAATTTTTGCTTTAAACCTGAATAACAATAAAATGTAAGGCTTTTTTTTGTGTTATTGGATGTAAAATATTTCTCAAAAATTCATCCAATAGGAAGAGGGAAGATTTTGAAATTTTCTTACTTGACTGATGAAATAATTTGCTCTTTTAATAAAACAAATGTATTTTATAAAATAAAGAAATAATCTAATGATGTTTCTCAAAATTATTATTTATAAATTAAAATGTCGAAAATTTAAAAAACTGTATAAATTTAAAATTGCGTTTCCAATTTCGGTAGTTTTGCGACTAATTAATTGCGGGAGTCTCCCGCTGATGGGGGAGACCTGACAACCCTGCTCATAAAAGTAGACAATGACAAATATGTTCTAAATGGATATATATATGATTCAGATTTTATGTCAGTATTTATTGTTAAAGTACCAGTTAACTAGTTACATTTTTTGAAATGTAACGACGACGAGAGCAAAATCGCACATTTATTTAAATTAAATTTTTATTCCTATATGTTTTGAATAGATTTTTAAACTAAAAATATGGATATTATTTATTTCCGACACTACAAAAATTCTCATATTATTTTTATTTAATATTAAATTTTAATATTTATTATTAATACAAGATTAATTCGTCTATCGAATCTTAATATAGATGTCTGAATGAGATAACCGTTTTGAATTGAGGTGAGCTATGTCCCATCCAAACATTTGCATTATTTTTTTCCATTATCAAACTCAAGGGTTATGCCAAATTTTTTGAAAATAACTATTAATATTGTGATAAAACCGGCATATAAAAAACTAAAATAAATGTGAATTAAAAAATATTAAACGGATAACTGACGGTATATGAAAACTATGAAATAAATGTGAATTATAAAATATAAAGTGAATATAACCACTATATGAGTCACTTAAATGACTCAAAATAGAAATTTGAATTTTTTGAGCCTTTAAAATTTATATATAAATATAAAGTATAAAAAATTTAAATGTTGGAAATAAAAATTAATATGCAAAAATTTTTTAGGAATAATTGTATTTTGTATGTTACATATTTACAATGTAAAATCCAATCTTCGTGATTGAGCTAATTATTCAATTATCTCCCTTGCTTGTCGTCAAATGCCTATGAATATTCAAAAGATCCAAACCTTTCAATCTACTTTCAGAAGTTGTACTTCTTGGTATGTTTTTCAGAGACATGCAGGCCCGGCCCCCGGGCCGGACCGTATTTTAATTTTTTTAAATATACCTAGGCCGGGCCCGAATATTTTTTAAAAAACACCCGGGCGGCCTGAAAATTTTTTTAAAAAAATATCCGGGCCAGGCTTTTTAAAACAGCCTATATTTGAAATCTTTATTAGCTGTAAAAATCAAAAATAAATATAATTTATTTTTAAAAAATCTGGGCCGGGCCGTAAAAATTTAAAAAAAAAATCCGGGCCGTACCCTGCAAATGGTACCTCTGCAGGGCTCTGTTATTCTTCTTAAAAAAGAGAATGTTCTCTCATTAGTTTACTAATGGGAAGAGTTGCTAATATATATAAAAACCCTTTTAATACATTGGGAATATAATCTAAAATGTTTGAAATAATGCAAAGCATCCATAGTTTTTTGGGACTATATCAAACAAAATTTTTTAATCATGGTAATTCAGCTAATTAGGCATTATAAGATACTTTAACATCTTCATGATAAAAATCTAACAAATATTATTTTTTTTCACCATCTGAAAAAGGTTGGGAAGGCTTTTGTGAAAGTAATATCTGCAGATTGGTAAGTGCTGCATGATGAATTAAAAACCATTCATTTATTTGGGTTATAAATGTATCTAAGAGAGGGGACATTTGTTTTATAATAACCTTCTACTGATCCTATATTAATGTTTTAACGATAAGCTTGCCTTGCTGCAAGTCGATGCAGACAAATATTAAACACTTATAGGTCTGCTTTTGACTCAACAATAACATAAAATATGAAATTCTTCATCAACATTAGCCCTATAAGGTCTAATAAAATGATCTTCGCTATTCTCATGATTTTAATCAAGTCAATGTCATGTTTTTGATAAGTAATACATTAGTTGTATAATTAAATAATAAATTCTAATGAGAAAAAATAAAATAGGAATAAGCATTGAATCCAATAATTTTCTTGCTTCTGAGGAAATATTTCTTTCAGGCCATTGTGATATTTCAGTAATAGCAAATAATCGGCTCTTCTAACTCCATAAAAGCTGTACTGCTTGATGGCGGAAACTCTATCTCGTTGGACAAGCTTGCAATTTCTTTCTCCCTGTTGGACAAGGAGTTTCAGAAATAATTATTATTTGACTAGAAATTTGAAAATGGTAGATAAATATTACGCCACTAAAAATTTGAAAATAATAAGTAGATATTACGCTGGAAAACTTGAAATCAAAATTAATTGATAAAAGAACTTAGTAGATGAATGTGATAAATATATGTAATTAAATATATATTTAATGTGAGATAGGAATATGCCTACAAAAATACGAATCGAATAATGGAATTATTCGTATTCGTACGAATAATAAGATGATTATTCGATTCAATTCGAAAATTTTATTTAACCATAAATTAAAAAAGATAGAATATTAATTTATTTTGTAAAATTTAACTATGGATAAGACAAACAAATTTTATTAGTAAGATAATATAGAAGCATGTATATATAGTATTTTTATATATAATGTTGTAAAATCAATATAATATTCATATCATGTAGAAGACAAATATTCCAACAACAGATTTTTTAAACAAAAAGTTTAGCAAAAAGTAAAATTTATTTCTCCATCATCAAACGACGGAGAAATATTTGGTTCGCCCGTCATTCTTGACGGGATAGCTACTAGTTTATTATAATTGTACATGTTTTATAAATTGCATATAAAAATAAATACTTTCTTCGTCCATTATAAAATAATTTTCGGAAGTTAATTTTGTATTATGAAGTTATTCGAATAAAAACTGCCTTTAACAACAATTTTAGATATATAAAATGTTTCTTCATTATTCTACTAGGAAATTTTATTAAATAGGAATAATTGCAAATTATTCCTACTAATAATATATGATTATTTTTCAATATTTATTAATATAAATTATTTTAATCGAATAATCTCGAATAATTCGTTCGAATAATATATTTTCCTTATTCGAATCGAATAATTGTGATATTCGTATTCGTAAAATACGAATCAAATCGAATTGAATATCGAATAACAAATAATTCGTTTTAGGTATAGATAGGAATAAATATTAACAAATATAAATTAAAATAAACAATAATACTTATGAAAAATATAACCGGCATCTGCATTTTTGGCATTGGGGGGGGGGATTTGTCCCCACCTTGCTGCGTATGCACCTGCTTTTAGACACTAACTCTTAATAACACTAGCTGTCAGGAATAATTTGAATCTTAATTTTTTTTACTAGTCTAAATCCGAATTATATAAAATGATTGAATGTTAGTTTTTGTCGCATCCCAAATAATTTTTTTATCTTTACAATTTTTCTCTTGACTTTCCTTATTTCTAAAATTTGTCTAGATAACTTTTGTTTAAACAGTAGTTAAAACCATCGTTAAGTGATATTTAAAAAAATATCAATGCTATTAAATGGAAATCGTTTTTAGGAACTTTACAATTTATTGTTTGAAAGAAGGAAAGGATTATTTTAGCTCAAATTAAAAAAATATATGGGCAAAGCCCTAGTATTTAGGAAAAAGAAAAAGTTTGATAAATTCTTAATCATAATTTATGCATAATTAACAAAACTTTTACAAGATGAAAGGTTTATAAAAAAATGTTTTAAAAGCAAAATGAATACCGTAATGAATATCTGAAGAAAAAAAAGTTGTGTTAATCTTTTTATTTTTTTAAATAAAATTTTATCCTTTCATCTTAACTAGCTATGATACAATTTTTTATATATTTGATTGTCAGATATCGAACAACAAAGGATATAAGCCTCCCTTTTCGCGTTATACCTTTGGTCAAGGAAATTGGTCGCAACAAAATGGAGGTAAAAGTGGCTATCAAGTCCAATTTCAAGCCCTCGCTTTTGGCACAAAAAATTGAGGCTAGCTTATCTTTAGATAAATATATATTAAAAGCGCATTTTAAGCAAAGGTAGAATGATGTTTATCGTATCGAAAATCAATATTGTAAGAGAGTAAACGTGAATCTAATATGGATTAAAAAGAATATATAAATTTGTTTTTGTTTGGTACACTTTGTAAACAACCTTAGGTCAGGATACCGACCCCGCTTAACACCAGTGGTGTACAACTGATATGCATGAAGGGTAAGGCCAAGTACAAAGCCAGCGAAAATGCCGTTGTTTGGAAGTTGATTAAATTTATTAATAAATTTTTTAAAATTTCAATATCAAATTATCAGTTATAAAGTTGAGAAAGTCTGTTTGGTAATATGGGATCCTTTCCAAAATCTATAGATTGAGTTATATTTATGGGTAGCAGTTACTTACTATCAAGTAACTAGCTTCCCAATTTGTGCTGGAAGTCTTGATGGTAAGCGTTTAGCCATTCAAACACCTATGAAAATTTATTTACATTCATATCTGTGCCTATAGAAACGAATTTGATGATGAATTCCTTAAAAATTGTCCAATATATAAGAATTTTATGAAACTTAGTAATAATAATATTTTTTAGTTTAAACCTCAATTTATCAACACCTAAATTACCTGATCCAAATATTAATGCCTTTTGTGTTTGTGGCAGGCGAATGAAGAATCCCAATTAAATTCTTATTTATTAAAACCATATATATAAATTTTTTTAAGCTAATAGGCACGAGTCTGTTGAGTGGGTCATTGGTATAATAGCTTCTTAATTAGCAGAAAAAATTGTAAAGGCCTATCACTGTATCATAAATTCATGAATAAAAATTTATAGAGGGTTAGAGAAGACTGATACGATTCACAATTTTAAGAGAAAATAATGAGTATTGTAGTAATGTTATTCCCCTTTAAAACTTTTCTGCATAAATATATTATTTTTAAATAAAATTTTTATGGCATTATTAGACAAGTGGTTAGTTAAAAGGCTTCATCAGTTACGAACAGGGATCCAAACCGAACCATTAAACCTCTAAAAACCGGTATTTTTATCGAACCTAAACCGCTAAAAAATTCTAACCGAACCTGAACCGAACCGAACCGTTAAAATGCCTCTGAAGTTCGAGCCTCATGATTTTATGCTTATAAAATAATGTGTAAGTTATTAGTACATTGCAAAAATTTTAATTATATTTGAATTGTTTTGAAGATTATTATCAATCACATTTAGATAAGTGTCAGTCATAATTTTTATAAACTTTTGTATATTGCCATTTTACAACATTTTTTAAATATTTTAAGCTTAATTATAATTCCTAGAGATAGATTAAATTCAATATATAATTATTTACATATAGTATTATAAATGACACATCAAAATGTAATATTGTTGATTGTCAAATAAATATGAAAGACTATCATGGGGCAAATCTTGGGCGTCACATAAAAAGAAACCACACTCGAATCCATAAACAAAATATCACAACAAAAGCCTAATAAAATAAAAAAATTTAAGATGTCATCAAGCCAACAGACGGTAGAAGAAGCATTAAAAGATTGAACAATATCAGTAAAACTAAATAAAAAAATAATAATCGATGCTTGTACTGAGTTGGTCACTTTTAGTTGTAACTATTTAAATTAATCGATGATAGTGGTTTTAAACAAATACATTATTGGAATTAATTTTCAGTATATTCAAAAAGCAAAAATTGTTCTAAGAATACTAGCAATGAAAGAAAATTTAAAACTCCTTTTAATATAAGTATTAAATGATTATGAAATCAAAACATCACAATTATATACTATAACAACAACTGACAATGGGGTAAATCTTATTAAGATGGCAAAATTATTTATGTAGGATATCTTACATTTTGTGGTAGATCAAACATAAAAATTTCTCAGTTTCTAATATTATTATTTAAACTCGTACTACCTGCAAGAAAGCTAAGGACAAAATCTAAAAATTAAACTAGACCTATATTGGATTGTCACAGATGGTTATCAACCTAAGACATGCTAGAGAGATTTAATGAATTAAGAGATATGTGTGAGGAATTATCAGTATCATACAGTGAACTTTATTTTACATCTTTGGAATGGGAAGCAATTATAGTGTTGATTAATATCCTAAAACCAATTAAAGTAGCTACCAAAACTTTAGGGGATTTTTATGGCATATGGCTAAAAGTTAAATTAGAAATTTCTATATTTCACCCTTTGCTGGTTCAATAATAGTTGCTATGAATTTTAGAGAGAAACAACTTTTAAACAACAATACCTTTTTGTCATGCCTATGTCTAGATTTAAGGCATGTTTTAAAAATATTATATTATATCTTATATAAATTTAATTAATAATTTACCTTAATTAAAAATTTTATTTTACTTTATATATTTTTCTATCTATATTTTTAATTTTATTATATAGATCAGAGACCTGCAGCCCGACCCTAAACCCGGCCCGACCCTAAACCCGGCCCGACCCTAAATTCGGCCCGACCCTAAACCCGGCCCGGCCCTAAACCCGGGCCGGGCCGTATTTTTAATTTTTTAAATATTATTTTTTTATAATTCATATCTAAATTTTTACAACATATACCAAAACAATCAAATAAAGGAATATCTTAAATAAGCCCCAATATTCAAGTATTATTAATATATTTTTTTATAATTCATATCTAAATTTTTAGAATATATTTTACCAAAACAATCAAATAAAGGAATATCACTTCTTGAAGTTTGTAATACCTTTCAAAGCGAAAAAGGAGAAATAAAATTGATTTTACTTAATATAAAGCATTTTTTAATTGAAAAATTTGTCTTACACAAGTATCATTTTATTTCTTTTTTTCTCTGTCCCAAATTCAAGCAATTACGTATGTTGTCAGGGACAGATCGCAAGATGACGGAAAACTATATAAAAGATAATATTAAATTACAAGAGGCTCAGGAAGTAAATGAAATACCATCGACCAGTCAAATTACGACTGTTGTTAAACAAACTGAATCGTTTTATTACAAATGGGGCGATGGTAATTCTGGTAATATGTCAATACCCGATGATGAGTATTATAATTACATAAATAAAAAAATAGATGAAACATTTAAGGTGGATAATTTGTTAGAGTGGTGGGCGGATCATCAAAGCGAATTTTTTGCAATATAAAATATAGTATATGCTCAAAATATCCATTTTTATAAATAACAGTTTTATAATTTTTATAAATTCAATATAATATTCTCAAAATATTAGCTTTTTACATGTATTTTTTAAATAATAAGCGATAATACTCGCTGAAAAATATGGTAAAATACCTCATAGGTGAATTTTTGTATATACCAGGTCGAATATAATTTTAAAAAATCCTGAGCCGGGCCTGAAATTTTTTTTTTAAAAAATATCTGGGCCGGCCGTAAAAAATTTTTTTAAAAAATATACGGGGCGGGCCGGGCCTTAAATTTTTAAATCCGGGCCGGGCCGTAAATATATTTTTTTAAAAATATTCGGGCCAGGCCGGGCCTAAAAAATTTAAAACCGGGCCGGGCCGTGCAAATGGTGCCTCTGCAGGTCTCTGATATAGATATCATGTGCTTCTGACTGAAGAAGAAAAAACCAAGGCTAGAGAGTAGAGACCATATTATTAAAATATGGCATAACATGGAATTAAACTTTGTTATAAAAGTGGAGGATTCTAGTGAAGTTGAATCAACGCCGGTTAATGTAACTTCACCTGAAGAGGATTTGGTAGAAAGTCTTCGTAAAAAAGGATGGTAACAAACAAAATCTGTTATAAAAATCAGAATATTAGAAATATTTTAGTTAAATTTTCTAAAGAACCTAGGTTAAATATAAATATGAATATTTTAGACTATTGGATAAATCAGATTAGTCGATACACAGAATTATATAAATTGTCTGATATCATACTAGCAGTGCCGGCTACCCAAGTTAGTGTAAATGTTTTTCAACAATTAAATTATACTAACTCCTTATAAATGTAATTTGAGAGAACGAATCTTGAAAATATATTAATTGTGCGGCTTAATAGAAAATTTTTAGGTAAATACAGTTAAATATGGTTCATATTAAAATTAATCATTGATATTTATTTGTTATATTTATAAATTAAATATTATTTTATAATGGGCAATTAATAAAAAAGAAAGTTTTATATATGTTTTTTATTTTAATGATGAAATAAAAAAAAATTCTTCCCTATAAATAATTCGTATGTAGGTTTGAATACTAAAGTGTTCAAACCGGTTTTTAGAAATTCGAACCGAATCGATATCTTTATTTTTTACGAACAACCTGAACCTTGACCGTTATTTTATCATAACCTGAACCAAACTGATAATCGTTTTGGGTTGGATCTCTGATCACAAACACAGAAAACATTTCTATATGTGGATTGCAGAGTTTTTAAAAGATACTTTTTAAATGGATCTAGATACAGATACATCGTCTAAAAATTTATCTAGATACAAATACAGCTTTTTAAAAGTTATCTTGATACAGATACAATTTAAAATTGCACAAATACATTTTTTATCATACTCTTAGATAAGGTTTGAATAAAATTAGGATTTTATTGTGAAAATTCATGAAATCATTTAAAAATTTATTGACTCGATATCACATTTATCAAAATATAACTAAAATAATGATTTTAGATATTAATATAATATATGATTAATATAAATAATTATTATTATATATCATTAATAAAATAATATAATATAGGATTAAATGATTATAAATAATTATTAGATTTCATTAACAACCACTTCTGTCGGCAAATTATTATTTTTTGTGGAGCTAATGTTTTGATCATTTTTATAAATGAAGGATTTTTAACAATTGAAAATGGCTGAATGCTATCTATAATAAAATCAGTTATTAAATCATCTAAAGTGGTCTGGATTAAAGTCTTAGGTCCCTTGGAAAAAAACAATGGATGATAAGCCTAGTCCAATATTTCCTTTAATATATTTTTTCTTCCCCTTTTTTATTTGGATTAAGAGTGTTTGATGTTTTCTCTAAAACTTAAAATTAAAATTGTAAACATTTATTGAGTATCTATACCCTTAAATGTTTTACAATGTTGCAAGTTGAGGTAATGCTAACTAAAATTTGACATTTTACTAACAGAGATTTGTTTTCTTTATTTTGAGTTATTATTTTAACCCTTTAAAGTCCTGTGAGCTAATTTGACATCATCATATTAAATGTTATTTTTTAACGTTTAAAACCACTCAATGA